GAAAACATGCTTTTTTTCTTTTTAATATATTATGATTTATATTGGTATGTTTTCTAATGTAAAAGCATATTTACATTATGAAATAAATCTCAGTTACATGATACTATTTTTGTTATACATTGCTGGAATTGTTTGTTAGTATTTAGGCATTCTTCATCTACTCTCATAAAAGTCAGGCCTGTAATTTTTTTCCTTTATCTACATCTCATCTGGTTGTATTATGATGGTTAAATGAGTTATGTGGTGTTCCACCTTTTGTGTTCTGATGCCTAAAAGTCTTTCCAGTATTTATGTAAAATCAGGCCTAAAGAATACAGGATACATGTGAAGGCAGCGGCTGTCAAACTTTTTTGACAGTAACCCACCATAAAAAATATACTTTGTACCATGACCCTGGATACTTTTCTTTTCAATACAGAATATATTTATTAAATATTTTTAATTGTAAAATATAAGAACACTGCTATAGTACCAAAGATTTTTTAAAAACATCAGTATTATTTTCTTAAAATGGACTTTTTCATTTTCCTTATTCTACTGAAAAGAATTTGTTTTGTAAAAAAGATATAGCTAATAAAACCTTTATTAGTTTCTCTTCGTTGGTAGACTCTTATTTATTTCTTCATTTGACTGCTTTTGTCAGAGATCCTTGAGAGCAGGGATAACATTTTACGTTTTGATCCCTGGTGCCCAGCACAGGCTAGACACTTACATATTTGTTGAGTTATTATTAGGTCATATGTCTTTCTAGCTGGTAAAGCCAAATAAAAGCCATACTGCTTTAAAAGCAACAACAAAATCTTATTGTTTAAATTTTAGGAAAATGCATAGTGGAGATTGAAATTTGAATATTTCATAAAAGAAGTGTGACTTGATTTTTTTTTTAAATTAAATTTAAGAGGCCAGTCTTAGGAAAGTTAATTTTAAATACAACGTTCAAGACGTATATTAAATGCAGTGTTCTTAAATATCATGACCAAAAAAAAAAAAAAGTGCCTCTCTTTTTGTATGTGTAGCTACTGTTTTAACTATCTTATAAAGAGAGGAAAACAATACTGACATATTGTCAATTACTCTTTAGCCTGAATCTATCAATTGGGGAGAGTACATTGATTAATGTGATAGTTTATTATCTGGATCTTCTTTTATTAGGAAGAAACAAAAGAAATTTGCTAGTCAAAATAAATATTACTTCATTTTTTTTCCCTTCTCCTTGTAACTTTTGAATATTTTAAATCTGATTTTTAGATAGAATGTTTTCCATGTACCGTCATTTTAGTCTAATTTTAACAAATAGTTCTTATAGTATTTTAATACTATAAAATTTTATTTTTGTTAACTTATAAAAATTTATCTGATTCTCTAAATTACGTTGACTAAAATAAAGGAAATGAAACGTTTAGGGGAGGTTAGTGGATGATAAACTTCATCAGGAGAAGGGGCTATAGAATAGGGAGGAATTAATAGTATTTCAGAGAATTAAGGTTTAAAGCAACACCTTTCAGAACAAAAAGAGTAGCGTATGAAAAACAGCTTAAATGTTGATATTCCAGGCTAGAGGCACTGTATCCACAAGGGGGCATTATTGTAATGGCTATGTTTGAATAATAAGTATCATAGAAGAGACCTCAAAACTTTGAGTTAGAAGCTCACTCCTTCCATTTCACTGTCTTCTACTAACACTTCCATTCCCTACATTCACCTTCTTGACTGTCCACCTTTCTAGGTCCTTCTTTCTGTGAAGGCCCCTTCTTGCCAGAGGCTTTCTTCTACTTGAAAAATAATTGGGCTGTGTGCCATCCTTCATGTGTGTAGTTCTGAGTGGTTGACTCAAATTTAGTTTTAATTAAGCCTAGGTGCATTCTTAGGTCCTTTGTGCTTTAAGAATATTCTAGTTGTTTCTTTATAGGCCAAAAGGTAGCAATGTTGATTTTACATTCTTCGAAGGCCAAGATCTGAGGTGGCAGGAAAAGCCTTCTTGATTGGCTTTTTGTCCTAGAGAATTAGAGTCACAGCCTTACAGTATTGCTTACATAATCAGTGAATGCTGTAGTGTAGGTTTGTTTTTCAATTTGTTTCATATTTCTCCCTCATTTCTCAAAGAAAGAAATAGATGTCTTTGCTCTAAACATCTAAGAAGCTTAAATTTATTTATATACTCACATGTTAATATTAAATCTTTTATTTTGTACTATTAAAAGCTTGTGTTAGGCTATTTTACATACAGAACTGTAAGGCAATCTGATCAAATCACTGCACTTAGTAAGCAAATCATATCTCATATTTGGTAAAAGAATTATTAATAGCTTAGGTTTTTTCAAAGCTTGTCGGACTGTTAAACTGTCTTTAAAAATGAATTCTAGAATTGAGTGTTTTCTGAGATTTGAGTTCAGTTTTTTAAAATCTCTCTTTTCCATGCTTTTATTTGTTCTTAGGGGTCATTTGTTGGCGTACCGGGAGTATAGGGGCATTGCCTGATTGTGCTATTACTGTATTCTTTGATTTTTTTTCTAGACTGAGTTAAAATATGGTAGTCACCAAATAATGCTACCATTCCTTTTTTCCTATTAACGTTTCTCTTTTTCAATAATAGTAATTTTCTTTTTTTTTTTAGGTTTGTCCCTTCTGTGGTATACATTATTTATTATTGCAAGATGAAGTGGGTGGGCTAGACAATAACTTTGTGCACTTAATAAGTCCTCTTATCAGCTGACTTGAAAACTGTCTTTTGGCAGAAGGAATATAGTTTTGGGAGAGAGATGATTATCTAATTACAAATTCGAAGTTATGGTGATTTACTTTGCTTCTGGCTAAGAAACTGTGATAATTTGGTAGCATCACTGCTGTGATTTATTTTTTATTTCTGAAACTTACTTCAGAATTAGCTAGGTTAGTGCTTTTATTTATGTGTAATTACTATTTAACATGTTTCCATAAAGAATTTGAGGTCAAATTTTTTTTTAATGTAGTCTTAACCAAGTAAGATACTGTTGAACTGATTGGAGTCATTGGTATTTGAAGTCACCAGAAAGGGGAAAAATCATATTAAACTGGAAAAGAATATTATAGTTCATCACAGATAATTAGATGAGAGGAATATTACTATTTCCCTCCAATCTTCCTAATATGTTACTTAGAAAAAATTATTTTCCTAAGCATAAAGTATGTAATTTAAAGAATACAAATTTTCTTCTTTGAAAATCTTTAATATGAAAACATTATGTTGCCTCACTATAATTTGACACATATTTGTGCTTACAGCACCATAGGCAAACCACTGTTAGATATTACTCTTTATTCCTATATCATTTGAGACTTTGACTAAGGAAGGCCTCACAGTGAAAGATGGACAAAAAGATGAGAAAATGTAACCTAAGAGAAGTCAAGAGATATTAATATTGTTTTACTTCAGATACAAGTCATTTTTAGATACTTTCAGTTATATATGCAGCACCTAGCACAGTGCCATCCGTATGTGAACTATATGAAGGCAGTCTGGTTCTATCATCATTCCTGAGAGATTTAATCACAAAATTAGAAACATTTGACTATATTTGTGTAGTTCTTTGAAATTTAAGTAATAATTAACCACTGTATCTCAGGAAACAGACATTCTAGCTGTAATTTTTTTTCCTTCTAATCTTATTGGTTACCAATAGAATTTGCCACTGGAAAAACAAGTATGGTCAGTTATGTACCTATATTTAAAATATAATTCATCATACTAAACTTGTACATTTTGTTAGATTAGCAAACCCACTGGTTTTACTGCAGCATGTATAAACGCTTAAACATAATTTTAAGGGTTCAGGGAATGTGACTGTTTCAAAAATAGTCACAAATAGACTTTTAATTAAATACACATTTCTTTAGATTAGTGCCTACATACTTGGAAACTTACATTCTCTTAGTAGACTCTTAAAAGAAGGGCTTGCAGCTCAACATAAAATGTATTAGTCACTTAATATTGTACATCAGAAAATTATTTTAAAAAGATACTTGGGATTGGGGACAATTATGGTAAAATTTAACCAGAAGATGGCAGTGATGATCCTCCTATACTGCAATGGTAATCAAAAAGTTTTACAAATGTAATAGCATGAAATATGCACGTTCTGCTGTTGGTATATAATGTTAAAAGCAACAGTTTAGGGGAAAGCATTTGCTGTTTGTTTTATATACTATGAAAAATGTGTATTTTTCTATAAGAAGGGATTAAGAATATTTTGGGTGTCTGTATCTTTGTCTGTACACTTCAGTTTTTTCTGAATACTGGGGTAAGGAAGTTACCATAAGTCTTGCCTTGTTTAACTTGCATGCATCACTTTATGTTATGCATCATGTCTAGAAGGCATGCTGTTTTATGGCCTGTTTGCATTTTTCACCCAAATTGCTGGAAACTAATGAACATTCTAAAGGAGCCATTCTTTTCATTACAGCCATTTCTCTAAATTGGCCTTTTTTTTTTTTTTAGTGGGGGAAAAAATTAAATCATTTAAGACGTTTATTTTTGAAAGAAAAAATTTTTCAACAAAAATTAACATTTAAAAATGAATCTCAAAAAAACAGTAAATGACTTTTGAAGCATATTTCAGAGTTTTAATTTTGATAGCAGTTATAAATAATATAATCTGGCGATTTTGAAAATGAGAAGTTAGAAAGGGGAGAAGGAATGCTCTCCTTTGAAAATTAGTGCCCAAATTTGGTGTTGGCTGAGATGAAGATGCATCCTTCTATACTCTTGATTTCTTTTTAATATAACGCCCAAATGCATTTTGCCAGAGAAATTGCATGTATTGTCAGCATGCATTGTTAACTTTGTCTTTCTCCTCTTCTTTCTACTGTTCATTTTCATTCGTGTGTTTTTGTTTTTGTTTTTTGGTTTGCCATTGTTTTTTCTTTTTTGTTAATTACTTCATGTTAAATTACTTTTGAAACGTCATAAGCTGAGCAACCTCTCCGTGTAGTAACAGCGGATACCTGTCTGTTTCACTATTTAGTCCCTCCTCCTATGTCTCCATCCTCCAAATCTGTGAGCACACCAAGTGAAGCTGGGAGCCAAGACTCTGGAGATGGCGCAGTGGGATCTAGGTATAGTAATTTTCTTTTAATATTTTAATATACTGTCATTGCTTTAGAGGGACTCTAAATACTTATGTTGAGTTAGTCTTAATATTTTGAAATCTAAATGGCATAGAAATTGTTATAAATTGGGGGACTTTTTTTTGCAATATTTTTACTGTCATACTTCATTAACTTAGTACTGAATAATTAACTGTTTTATGCTAATTATATTAAAATAGAGGTGTTAATTCATTTAAATGTTTTCTGTTTAAGCAAACTTTATATTGGTTATAATGTGACTGTTTTGGTTATAGTGCAAAACTTCTCTGTTGTGCTAAATTCCCCATTCAGTAATTGAAAATATAAACGATATGGCTAAACTGCCCAGTTCTGTTCTATCAATTCACTATTTCTAATTAAGATAGCAAATAATAATGGATAAAATATCAAGAGGAACGAGTAACTGCTAAGGAAATATGGAGAATTTTCACTTCGTTGAGGGCATTATGCTAAGTGAAATTAGAGAAAGACAAATATCGTATGATCTCACTTATATGTGGAATCTTAAAAAATTGGTGGTTGCCAAAGGTGGGTAGATGGGTGGACAAAATGGGTAAAGGGGAGACGGGGTCACAAGGTACAACCTTCCAGTTATAAAATAAATAAGTCATGGGGAAGTAATGTACAGCATGGTGACTATAATTGACAATACTATATTGCATATTTGAAAGTTGCTAAGGCTAAGAGAGTACTTAAAATTTCTAATCACAAGAAAATTTGTAACTATGATGTTGATGTTAACTAGACTTATTGTGGTGATCATTTCACATATATATAATATGGAATCATTATGTTGTACACCTGAAACTAATGTTACGTGTCAGTTATACCGCAGTTAAAAATGAAAAGAGTGCTGCTAGATTTTCCTGATTTCACATCTTCCTTGTGAAACTGTATTTCATGTTTCTTTTAAGATCCTGCACACATGTCATGTCTTGATTTTTAAAAGTTCAGTAAAATTTCAGCTTCTTTCCAGAGATCATATTAGGAAATATGTTATTACCTATTCCTCTCAATCTTTTCTCTCTCTCCCTCCCTTTCTCTCCCTCCCTCCCTCCGTCTCTCCCCCTCCCCCTTTACCTCCTCTCACACATACACATACACATTCACACATGACAATAGGAAGACTTGAACAGCATCATACTCTCTAACTTCTTGTGACAGCAGAAATGAAATTAAACATAGCTAATTAAAATCTTTACTCAGAATCCTTATTCTGAGCCAGGAAGTTATATGTCCTTCTCAGGAAAATCTCAGCACACCTTTTAATAAGAAATAAGCTGAGAAGTTTTATCTTTGTACCTGAGCCCCTTGATTGAAGTTACAAACAAGCAATAAGTATCTGGAAACAGGAAAAAAGAGCAAGGAAGCTAGATAATCCATAAATTTAATAATCCAGGAACTTTAATCAGTTCCTGAATAATCAGGCTATCATTAATAATTAGAGGACACAAAAGGTTCAGTTTGCATTTGATATGTGCTTTCCAGAACTTTTCTGTAGATAGAATCAAAATTACAAATCTAAGCAATTCTGTCATTGGAGTTAAATAACATAATATCATTTAATAAAAATAAAAATTTTCTTTTTAGAAATGATATTACCTTTTAAAATAGTATGTATTATAGACTATTTAGTCTTAAATTTATGTTTAAGGCTAAATTTATTTTTTTATATTCAGACGTCTGTGTTTTACACAAGTATGTTAGTATTCCTTTACTAATAAGCAAGTGGTATTTTAAAGTGAAGGATTTCCTTTTTTACATTACCATAGTAAAAATATTTCCCCAAATAAAATTATTATATTAAATTTCTTTATTTGATGTTATACATTTTTTTAATGTATATAATACATTGTGTTTATTCCAAACTCAGTTTTCTTGATTTTGAATAGAAGTAGGAAGATTATTTTAATGCAGCATCAGCAGGTTTGCTTTCAACAATACTATGAAACATAGTATTTGATTTTCAAAATTAATATGAATTAAAATGTCCTCCTTTCATTGGGAAACCTAGAAATTATTAGAGACCTATTGGGGTATTGTAAATTGGTAGAGGGAGTAAATACTATTAAAAAAACATGTATTTGTATATAGAACACATACTTATGGAACTGTCAATTTAATATTGAATACTATAGATTCAATATTAAAATAAAATGTGGCCCTTGCCTTTATGAAACTTGTATTTCTAGTGATTATATCATTAATTTATGGAAGAAACTAGTCACAGATGATATATCTGATAAGGGTTTAATATCCAAAATATATAAAGAACTTATAACTCAACATATAAAAACAAACAATCCAGTTTAAAAATGGGCAGAGGACACGAACAGACATTTCTCCAAAGAAGACACGCAGATGGCCAACCAACACATGAAAAGATGCTCAGCATCACTAATCATCAGGGAAATGCAAATCAAAACCACAATGAGATGTCACCTGTCAGATTGGCTATTATTGAAAAGACAATAAATAACAAGTGTTGGCAAGATGTAGATAAAAGGGAATCCTCGTGTACTGTTGGCAGGATTGCGAATTGGTGCAGCAACTATGGAAAACAGTATGGAGGTTCCTCAGAAAACTAAAAATAGAACTACCATATAACCCAGCAACTCCACTCCTAGGTATCTATCCAAAGAAAACGAAAACACTAATTTGAAAAGACATATGCACCCCTATATTTATTGTAGCATTATTCACAATAGCCAAGATATGGAAGCAGCCTAAGTATCCATCAATAGATAAATGGATAAAGAAGGTGTGGTATATACACATACACACGTGTACATACACACACAGTGGAATATTACTCAGACAAAAAAGAATGAGATCTTGCCATTTGCAATAACATGGATGGACTTAGAGAGTATTATGCTAAGAGAAATAGGTCAAGCAAAGAAGGACATATATGATTTCACTTACATGTGGAATCTAAAAAATAAAACAAATAGACTCATAGATATAGAGAACAAACTGATGATGGCCATAGGAAAGGAGAGTTGAGATGGGCAAAAAAGGTGAAGGGGAATGAGAGGTCCAAACTTCCAGTTATAAAATAAGTCATCAGGATGTAATGTATAGCTAGAGAATGTGGTTAATAGTATAATTACTTTGTATGGTGACAGATGCATACTAGATTTATGGCATAGATCACTTCGTAAAGTATATAAATGTTAAATAACTATGCTGTACACCTAAAACTCAATATTGTATGTCAACTCTAATTTTTAAAAGTTGAGGATGTTATTCAATGTATTGTAAAGTTTTAAAGATAGTATGCTAACTTGTGTTTAAAGTGTAGATTTTTAATGATAAGTTGTAAAACAAGAAAACAAGTATTTAAATATCTTTAGGGGCATTTGTTCTTATTGGCGAATTAATGCAAAATTAGTTTTTCTAAGTTTGACAGAAGAGGGAAAAAAATCTTTTGAATGAAGTGTCATATTTTTTTAACCTTAATACATACATTGTCTTTGAACTCACTTTAAACATTAATTTTCAAGAGGCTGAGTATGTTCATTTCATACACACATATGAGTAGATAACTATGAATCCCACTAAATCATTTCCAGATTTCATAGTTGAAAGATAGTTAACACTGTTGATTTATTAGTGCTATTGGCAATAAAATAATAGCATTTAAAAATATATGACTTCGAAAAAGAATGCTAGAGTCTGAGAATGAAACAGAATGAACTCAAATTGAGCAGGCATGATGACAAAGAATGATGAGAAAAATAAGAAATATCACTGGAAAGTGCATGAAGATGGATAAGATGGCCAAGACAGCCTAAGATAAGTACACTTGGAGAGTGGGGAAAGATACAGTAGACATTACTAAATATGATATCGAAACATGTCTAAGTCACTATTTCTAAATGCCAAAATTTTCTTTTGGACCTGGTTATTTGTTAATAAATATAAAAGGCCATGAAAAGTGATATTTCTCTGATTTTGCAGATCAGGAAGTTACATTTCATCAATTTTCTAGTGCACTTTCTCAATCACTTCTGTTACCTTTAAAATTTAGTTGGAGGCTGTTGTTACTCTACTGGGAAACCTGTGCCGCCAGTTCCTTTTTTCCATTCTTGATCAGTTTATTCCCTAGGCTTTTGGATTATATTGGAATTTGATTTTACGCCAACAGATGCCTTTAATAAATATAATCCCATATGTCGTGCAGTGTGTTTTCAGTATTGGCTATATTTTTCAGCACTATTTTACTTGATTTTAGACTAAAATGACATAAAGGAGCTCTATGTAATTCATAACAGCCAGAGCTCTCATATAATGTGAAGGCCGTGAACAGAACATTCCTTGGAGAGCAAACCATAGAACCCCTTTTGGTTTAACAAAGCCTAAGTTTGTTGCTGTTCATTGCTTTGTACAAAGTAAATCTTCACTGTGGCCTCCTCTTTCTTTGCATACACAATACTATTTAAATTCCAAGATCTTTATATAGTTTTAAATTGAAGAATTCCTCTACTTCAAGTCATCTAATTGTTTTTAGTGATAAGTTGTATAGAAATTATTTGTTATATTTAAACATAGCAGTTTTAGTTGTACATTTTAACTTAAATGTTACATAAGTGAGACAAATATTTTGACAAAAATGGTAGCACTGAGTGTATTGTGCTTAATGTTTTAATAAGGACTGTGAGCATCATACAGTACTGTACATAATTATTTTATATGTCACTAACCTATAAGAATGCCAATGTGCTAAAGCACCTTTTGTTCTAGTAATGACTAGATTTTGCTTAAGTTGAAAAGATCCTGTGTAAGTCATTCACTTGGTAGGCAAGGCTAATGCACAACCGAATATTTATTTAGTATTGATATTCTCCAAAAGTTTAGTTTAGGTAAATCTTTTGAATGTAAAATATTTTTTTTCTGGGAAAAATCTATTTTTTTCCTAGAGACAGAAATCTTTAGCTGCTTTCTAAAGCAGATGACATGTAAGCTCAAGGCAGTGCTTAACCCATAAATTACATAAGGGTCACATTTTGGCAACTTTAGCTATTTTGTATCCCAGTAGAATAGCCTTTGGCTTTCTTACTGAGAGGCTTTATGTGTTGACTTATTTCCTTTACCAATATGACAATTTCCTGCACACATTTAATGCTTTGGGCAAGATTATAACATGCTAAGATGTTTTAATGTTTCATTAGGAAACTTAAATTTACACTTTTTATAGCTTAGCTTCAAAAATAATATATTATTTGGATTGTTTGATGCTTAGCTGTTCTTATCCATTATTGTACAATAATCTGAAAATACTGTCTTAACTATTCTGAATCATATGTTTGCATCTTTAACCATATTATGCTTATTGCATGCACTAGGGCATGAGTAATAAGTGGTGTGTTTTTTGTACCAATAGAACATATGGTTTTTAATTGTGAACAGTACTTTAGCTATTCATAGAGTGTATTTGCTTGACTAACTTATGGCCTTTTCTGCTAATGCTTCATGGTTGTCCTACAACCATTTAGGACGCTGCATTGGGATACAGATCCATCAGTTCTTCAGCTTCACTCAGATTCCGATTTGGGGTATTGAATAGATTTATTACCTTCCATCTTTTATAATCAATTTGATTCTTTGTAAAACTGTCCTAACTTATTTTGCTTAAATTTCTAATATGCAGTATTTATTTAGGAAAAGAGTGATATTTTACTGTGACACCTCATTTATCCTCTGTCATCTCCACCTTAGAGAAAATTATTTTATTACCAATGATAGAAATAATTAGTCTATATATCTGACTTTCTAGGTACCCAAGTCTACCCACTTAAGTCTCCAGATTCCTTTTATTTCTATATTTTTGATATGTTTTTCTAAGTTGCATTACAAACTTCCTAGAGTTTTAAAAACACATATTTTACATAGAATTGAACCTTTTCTAGATTATTCAATATGAACATTAATTTATTTTCCTATATTAAAATTCCCTAATGATTTCTAAGATTTTGGGGAGAACAGAGCTGTTGGTCTCTACACTGTGGCCCCAGATTGCTGTTGATTTATTCATTAATGCATTTATCGAGTCATTTTTTCTAGTCTCCAATGCAAAATATAAATGTTTGCTGCTGCCATTGTTCCTTACTAAGATAGCCATTTTTCCTTGATAATTTGCAGCTTTTAAAACATATGACTGGTACCTTTAGGATTATGTCTAAAGAGTAAGAGTAATAAATAGGCCTTGAATTAGGGCATATAAGAAAAATACATGAGATTCTTCTTCATTAACTGGAAGGCCTCTCTCTTGGCTGTCCTGAGGCTCCTCCACCCCCAATTGCTTTCTTATTCTCACAGTGGTTTTTGGATAAGTGAGGTTTTAACTCCTTACCCTTCTACCTTTAAATCTTAGACTATTTTGTTTGTTCTAATATTGTGATTTTTTTAATCTATTAGATCCTAAATATATACTCAAGTTAGTAATTTGTTCCTAATGTTGTTGGCTTGATCATTTTTCCCAGATATGTGAGTGATTGACTTTTTCATGTGGTTTACATCTTAAAAATCAGAATATAATGTTTATTTCAAATTTTATTCTTAGAATACTAGCTTACTTAAAATGTACTTAATTTTTCCCATTTAATTCTTTGATTATGCTTTTTTCTTTTCTTGAAGGCTAAGATATTCCTAAAGTAGGAGACACATTAAAAATTTCTTAAGACCTTAGAGAAAATTAATTTTTTAAATGTACTACTTTTATTATACTCTTGCACAGAATTTTGCAAAGGATGTTTATATAAGAAAAAAATTATTATATTACCAATGTATGTATATTTTAGATATCCTACTTGATATTCTAGAAGTTACAGCATTGTCTTTATTAGATATTTTAAGACAGCTTCATAATTGAGAACTTCTTGGGAGTTTGGATGCATACTTTATTTGGTTTAGAATTTAAACATCTAATAACCAAGATAAGATCCCCTAGATATCTAATAAAGGATATTTTTCATTTGGTCCATTTTTCTCAGCTACAGCTCTCTTCTGTTTATCAAGAAACGAATGTTTTCCCTCTTTTTAAGATAGAAGTAACTTTAGTAGTTTTTATGGTATTCAAAATATCTGTTGTTTTAGTTTAGTTATAAAATATCTACACTGTATTTTGTATATGAATTGAGGACAATGTGGACCATGCAGAGATTAGCAATTTAAGTTTAAGTGTTTAATTTTAAAATCTAAATTGACTGTTTGATTCTCAATTTCTACAAGCTTAAGTAGAAAAACAGATTTTCAGCAAAAGTTATTTTTCAGTTTTAAAGCTGGTCTCCTAATGATGAAGGGGTCTGAGTCAGATCTGTTTTATCTGACTCTTTGAAAAAGTCCAGAATCATATCCCTGCTAAAAACAGTTCTCATAACCAACCATAGTCAGCAGACCACTCTGAAATTCCTATCCTCTTCCTCCAAGAAATGAAATTATTTGCCTTTTTAAAATGAAAAATAAACATCTTGAATGATTCAGCAATATCTTTTGTTTTTGCTACCTTCTTTTTCTTTTGTTAAGATAAAGCCAATTCATTGTTCATCTAAAATTTCTTGAGTAAAACAGGGATTTAAATTACAGTGTTGTATATACAGTGTTTAATTCTTACTTTTCCAAAATAACATGGTGTGATGTAGTTAAATGTATCATTTGTTGTATTTAAAAACATTTGTGTTTACTTTATTTAGACGAGGACCTATTAAACTTGGAATGGCTAAAATTACACAAGTTGACTTTCCTCCTCGAGAAATCGTGACATATACAAAGGAAACTCAGACTCCAGTTATGGCTCAACCCAAAGAAGGTGAATATCTATCCTTATTTGATTGTCATTAAGCCCTCATGTTTAATAAGTGGATTCTTTCTTTTTTTCCCTCATTCTATTTTTTTTTTTTGTCTTTTTGGCATATTTTCTTAGGGAAACATCATAAAACTAATGCTTTAGTGTTTCTGTATTTATGTATTTCTTTTTTAGAGTTTTAAAACTTTTTCTTTTAAAAGTTAATAAAGATATAAGCTTTATGTATGGTTATTTGTTGACATAAATTTGTCTTTCAATCTTTATTTTGTCATTGATATGTACAGCTTTAGAAGCAGAAGAGCTTAGAAATTTTCTATTTCTGTGTCATTAAGCTTAATTCTTCCCTAAAAGAGCATGTATCCCACAGTGAATGAAATCATGTAAATTATTTTCTGTAGCGCATACTGTATTCTGAAATGCTGTAATTACTACCCATATTAATGAATAAATCTAGTTCTAATTCTTAAACTTCCTCTTTCATGATCCAAGTAAAGGCTCTTCTCTGTTGATTATATGGGAGCCTTTAATCTGTGTGCAATTGAGGGAAATATGCACGCACATTATATTGAATGTAGTGTCCTTTGATTCTTAAACCAGAAGGAGTTATCATTTGTATGTACATTGGAGACTAATTTTTTAAATCTCACTAGATAGCTAATGTTTTAAGCATAAAGTTAAGATGATAATTCTTATTATTCCCAGTGGGACTAATAAATTTGTCACACATATAAGAGGCCTACATGAGATCCCTAATATGGATTCCCAGTTTCTTATCTGAAACCTTTGGTGCCATCTATGTATTTGAGATCAGAATTTTTCAGATTTCAGAAAAGTAGTAAAGTATATGTACCATATGTAAATACTCCATTAGCATCTTGGGCATTAATATTTTGGCAGCAAAAGACATGACTATTCAAACCAAGTGAGGTAAATAATGATAATAGTTTTACCTCTGGTCATGTCAGAGTTTACTACCAAGTAAGTTACAGATTTTAGAGATGTTGATATTTTGGAATTACGGGCTCATAAGTTATCCTTTTAGCAGTCTGTGCATAAGGAACATTTTTTTTCTCTTCGACCAAGAAAATTTATTCCTATTTAATCATAGAATAACAGACATAAAAACTTTATCAAATATTTAAATTAATTTATTATTAAAATTTCAGTTAAATTACCACATTTCTTCATTAAGGAGAAATAAAAGTAATGTTTATTGCAGAAATCCCAGAAAATACAGGTAAGCAAAACAGGGAGAATCCTTGAAGTCCCTAGCTATTAACAAAGAAAATCTTTAATTTTCATGTTTATATATACCTCAAAAGAAAATTAGTATTATAACTATTTACAAGTTTTTTTGACTTAGTGGATCATCACATGCACTGTTAACAGTTCTTTTTCTGCCCACGAGGGAAATGGTATAAATACCTTAATTTTTTTCTTTCACATTCATCTTGTTCCCAGAGGAGTTGACATTATTATTACATACAATTATACTTTGAAAAATTTGAACAAATCAGGGTAACATTTTTATCCAAGTATTTTTTTACTTGACCATGTAAATATTTCTGTCAATACATTTTTTCATTCTTGCTCTCCATTAATTGGTAAGATAGCTTTCGCAGGTACAAAATCTTCATCTTACCAGGAAAAAAATCACTGATGGTAAACTTATTTGAGATATACGCAACATAAAAAAATAAAAGATAAAGTGTTGAACTATCACTATGGAGAATACTAATACTGCAGGATTCCATAATTTCCAGAAAATATTATTTCATTAATTAGTATATTCAAGTATTATATATTATAATGTCTCTCTTTTTGGAGCTACATTATTAGATATGTTAACTCAGAAAGTGAACAGAATTGCCAAAATGAAGTGCAATGACTCATTTAAAAAATAAATTAGGCTTTTTTTCTGTATCTAATAATTTGGAGAATTATTTTCAGTTTTAGTATTATACTTACGAAATGCATTTTGGGTTGTTTGAAATGTAAAGTGTTCTCAAGCTATTTTGAGTAATATCTATTGTAACATATCTATAGTCAGTTTAAGTGAAGACTTCCATTTTTTAAATAATTTTTTCTAATTATAATAGTTGTATATGATAGAGAATTTAGAAAATGCAGAAAGGAAATAAAGAGGAAATGTCTATGGTACCGCTGTGTAATAGCCATTGTTAATCTTTTCAGTCAGTTTTCTATGATATATGTTTTTATGTACACACATATGGTTTTATATCCTACTTGAAATTTGCATTTTTAATTGCTTATTTTTGAGATGCATATAAATTTTAAAACGTGAACATGTAACTTACTGCCTTTGAACTAATTTGAATGTATAGCTGCATAATATAAGCCTGGTATTTTTCAAAAAATTCTTTTTTCCATTTTTATTTTGCAAGTAATTAAAAAATTAGAACAATCATGATTTGTTAGATAAGCCGATGACCCAGAAGCACAAGATAAACTGTATTCTTTTCAGTTTGAAATTATCTGGGGCAAGGCTTCCAGCGTCATCATACTTCAGCTTCTTTGCCAGATTTTCGCTGAGAGTAGGGACTGTTTCTTCTTCATTGCTGAAATGTCTGGTCTGAATAGTGCCTGGCCTATAGTAAGTATTCATTAACTATTTGGTGAAAGAATTAATTGCTTTTACCTCCTCACGAGAATCATTTTTGCTTGCTTGGAATGTTTATTTTCATGTGTTTCCTTGGGAAGTAACTACTAGGAAAATAGGTTATTTCCAAATGTTGATGCTATAATATAATAATAATATAAAAAGTATGATTAGTCTTCGTTCTTAGTTTTAATGACTATGTTATAGTCTAATCATTATTTGCTCTGAGATCTATAAATGAAACCATTATAGATGTTCCTTTATATATAGTCTTCTTGAATTCCATGATGACATACTATGTAGATGGAAACATCATCTGTTATTTTGTGTTTCGTGTATCCCTCTGAATGCTTTGAACAAAATTGAACCTGTTAGCATCTTTCAATTATTTTAGCTGTTCGTTTGTAACAGTTCTTCAAACTTCATGTTTAAATTGATGACTGAAAATTTTAAGAGTGCCTACTATGTATCAGGTATAATGTGAGGCACTTTACATTACCTCTAATTCTCTAACCAAAACCCTGAGAGTTAAATATTGGTTCTCTTTGCACATGAAGAACCTGAATGTGAAAGAGATAGTTTATCAAGGGTCACATACTAGTGGCTAAGATTCTAAACCAAGTCTGACTGATTCCAAGGTGTGCTTTCTATATCACGCTGCCGCTGTAGTAACCTATGGTAAGAAGTTCAATTAATATTATAATCCAGTACAAACATAATGCAGATGTATAACTGAAACAAAAATGTTATGAAGTAGCAACTTCCCTTCTCTTACTATATTTCGTTTTTATAAATGTTGACCATGATGTACTAAATTTATTGGTTTAGACCTGTAGTTTGAAAAATACTCCATTAAAGGAAAGCGTGGTTTGCTTAACTTATTTATTGGTATATCTGCATCAAGATAATATTGTATTATAGTGATTATCTAAGAATAATGAGTGAACAGCTTCGATCTTCTTCACTGATAGAAGGTAAAAGTGACAGGAAGAATGAGCACAGTTTCCGATGGGTATGTCTTCATCAACACAACTGTCTAAATTTTTCTTGAGTGGATTAGACATAGATGTTAATTTTATAAAGGTCCACGTTTATTCTTTTGCAACCTAACAAGTATTCATTGATTCTACAAGTTTATTGAGTGTATGCTGTATACGAAGGCATTAGATTATTCTTTCTTTGTTTTGTTTTTGTTTTTTAGTTTCAGTTTGAGGTATATAAGGGAAAGGGAGTGAAAAATGTATCTAAATACCTTGGGACCATCAAATGAGATCATTTCTATATCATTATAGTTATTTTCAAGTTGAGAGCTGTTACATTAGTTTCTTTTCCCAATTTGTGGAAGATTTAGAAAGAGGGAAAGAAAAAACCCTGAAATTAAGGTTTTATAATGAAAACACTTTGTGCTTAACTGTACTTGTATTTATCCATTGCTTTAATACAGTGGTTCTCAAACTTAGCCTGGCTGGTTCCCATTTACGAATTATGTAACGAGTTCCAAAACTCACCATGAGACAGAATTGCCGAAATCACCATTTGAGTACAACAGACAGTAAATTAAACTTGGGTAGCAGTGTAATCTGTGCAGAAATAATGTGTTACCAAATTGAAGATAAAAATTGGTCTTAGATTTAACTCTTATCTTCCATTTTTTTAAATGGCTGAATCTATTCTTTTAAAAGGCAGTTTTTATTCTGCCTTGTTTTTCTTTTCTCCCATTCTAACCATCTTCTTGCTTTCAAGTTTACTCTGTAAGTTGGTAGTACTGTTTCTGAACTGAGGTTCTTTGCTGTCTTAAAGCACCTACTGTGAATGAAATTGACTAGGAACATGCCACCTCAGTCAATTTCACTCTCGGCAGGTGAAAAGCTTCTCATGGCGGGAGCATGGTGCCTGCAGATATACTCCTGGAAAAGTTACTTTCTTCCCTTACCTTTTAAAAGTTTTTAACTCTTGAAAATGATGTTATTTTTTACTTATCCACCTCTCAGTATGGATTTCTTTTTGTTTTTGATATTCTTAGAAACAGATTTTTAAAAGAGGAAGAAATCCTAAGGGTTATTTAATCTAATCTTGTTTATTCCTGAGGAAACTGAGGCCCAGGGAAGTTAATTGAAACCAGTGGTGACAACCAGGGTTACAACCAGAACCTGCCTTTTGATTTCCAGTGAAGTGCAATTTTTCTTACACCATTTCACTTTCTGTGTGGGTTTTTAAATTGTTTTTGGTATTGGTATTTTTATTCAGGTGCATATTGGTTAGCATTTATAATGTGTAGGAAAGTGTTATAAGTAAATAGCTCTTAATTTTTTATTGCTTGATTTATTTTTATTTATTTATTTTTTAAACGACTACAGCACCTGGTATTCCTAGGTGGTCTCCCATCCAAGTACTAACCAGGCCCGACCCTGCTTAGCTTCCGAGATCAGATGAGATCAGGCACGTTCAGGGTGGCATGGCCGTAGACTATTGCTTGATCTTAACATCTGGAATCCACACTTTCCAAGTAGAATAAATTTGTGGGCCTTCTGGTTAATAATATTACCCTTGTAAATGGATTTTTGAAAAATTCTGAAATAAATAACACATTCAATAAATTAGTTTTAACTCTCAGAATCTGTGAGAATATACATATAATTGAACATTGAAGCATTTGTTCTTGATTGAAAGACTTTAATCAGCATATCAGAAATTATGGCCTTAGAAAAATGTAATATTTATGAGATCACAGATAACAGGATCTATGTAAATGATTCTAATACAGACTAAATAAAATCTGAATTTTAAATATATAAAAAGACCATGTAGAGAAATAAATTCTGTGTTAAAGTAAATAGTATAATTAAAGTATTCTTTCTCAGTCCCCTAAATTAACGTTAGATCTACATTCAAAATATTTTCTGATTAAAAAATCTGCTATATATTTTCCCTTGTTGAAATGAAGTGATTCAAAATGATGTTGATCCAGAAAAGAAAGGGTTATTTTGAAAATACTAAAGGAAAAATCATTCCTATCTAATCTGTATTTTTAAACTAGTGATTGAAGCATTTTCTTCTGATATTCTCATTTTTTGAAAAATGTTTGTGAAGTTATTCATGTTGAATTTTTGCAAATTAAATCATATTTTTATATGCAACAAATTTCCTGATTTTTAGAACTCAGTGGCAACTTTTTGTACCATGCATAATCGGACTACTTTTTAAATTAGGAATTTTTCATAGGATATCAAACTATCTTAAAATAGGTGCATCAGTATAATGAAACTACATAATAAATTTATAGACAACAGATATATCTCCTAAATAGAATTAATGCACTAATGATAGGATATTTTTCACTTCCTATTGAGAATCATGCTAAGTGATAGATTAAATATATCTGTTTAGTGAGGATTTCCTAGGATCTTGCATATTACCTGTTAAATGACTTGTAATATTTTTAAATAATGCAAAGTGTACTTTGTGGCTCATTCTTTACTTAGATGTCTCTTAAATGTAATATGACATACAGAGAAAACTTGCTCTGAAGACTCCTTCAGTTTAACAAAAACCACCCATTTCACAGATGATTTAACTTTGATTAACCTACTCCATTGTAACAGATTATTCTGACAATCGGAATTTCATTCTTTGGTGTTATTTCTAGGTACAGCTTAATTTACAGAACAGTTTTTCTTTCCATCTCACCAAAATACATCACAATTTTGATGTTAACTCAGAGTAAAAATTCGATGGTTCATTAAACCTAATCTTAGCATTCATTGACAAGAGAGTTTTCATTTTAAAAGTAACTGCTACTTTTATGCATTCTTTACTGCTCAGTTTATAACCTTAGATTCCCTGTCAGAGAAAGCATGGAGTTAACCACTTAGCATATTGCAATGAATATTCATCAATAAATTGATATGACATAGCAGTCTCATTTTTCAGTCTTCCTGCTCTGTTGCAGTCTTTTTCAGTTTTAAATATACTATAGTTTATCATGTAATAGAGACTAGCTTAGAAGATCTTTAGAATTGTAATACTATATTTTCAGTTGTGTTAATTGTTTTTTAGTAGCTATTGTGTTCATTTTTAATAAGAGTAGTATATTTGTTTCAGAGAAACATTCTGTAATCTGATGTTACTGATGTGAGGCATTTTTGCCAAATGTTTGGTATATACAGGCACTTGTTTAAGATTAGTTTTATAATAAAAATATGTTTTACATTTTTTAGGAATAGCAGATTATTTGTTTTTATGTTCCTTGAAATTTTATTTAGCCTTATCACTTTTATGAAGCTTGTGTTTAAATACCTATCATAGTTTTTAAATCATGTAGAATGGGGGGGGCATGTATATTTGTTCTAAAATGTAATCCTGAAACCATATATTTAAATCATTGATAACCGTCATTCAATTACAATTAAAACAACCTATACAGGCAAATAGGCATGGCAGGTGCCATATATTAGGCAAATATAGATCAGCATCTATCATACTTGATCTACATTTTAAACTTCAAAAGGAAAAGAGTGTCTATAAACAAGATCTTTTCTGTTAAATATGTAGATTATGAGGTCACTTAGCACTAAAGTACTGACCATATGCATTATGACAAGAATTTGACACCTATCATTGGAAATGATACTTAGAAGCTGTATAATGCAACAAAGTTGAGGGGAGAGAATACGATGTGGGTAGGAAGCTGTAATTTATAATTCACAATGCTCAAGAATGACCTGTTCAGAGTGACTCAGAATCCCTGTCTTTGCTTTTAGGATTTACATACAGAACCTACTAGTAAACAAAATTGGTTAACATAACTGATAATATTAGCAGAAAATGGAAATATATATATTCTAAGATTTAATTTTTAATTGAAGTAAATAACGTATTATTCTAAAAGTTAACTTCTAAGTTAAATGTAATTAAGTTATTTTATTATGCCTGTAGGTGACTATGGTACAATTTCATTCTAATGTTTGAGCAGTAGAGTATAGAATTGTTACCAGTTGTACTGTTTTCAGATTAATAATCTGTTGTATATGAGAATTCATCTAAAAAGGAGTACTGTCTTTCTGTTTCTCTGTGTGATTATTTTGTCCAAAAAAAAGCTTTCATTTTTTAAGGAGCACAAAAGCTGTAATTGGCATGCTTTGTAAGGAAGTGTCAATGTGCAAGAGAGTGGCGATCACTAAGAATTCTTTTACGTGTTCTTTCCCCTTTGCACCACCGCCTCCTCAGCGGGGTCACTGAGATCACTAGCTTTTCTTGAAATGGCCATTTTCACTGGCAGGTGCATTATACCCTGTATTTTCAGATTGTTTTTCCATTCTGAATGTTTGGCAGGTTGATTGCTCTGGCTGCATTGACGGAGAAAGGGCTGACAAATGCGGTTGGGCTGGCTGAAAAGACAGTGATTACTGTTTTCCTTTGTGGCTGATTGAGGCCCTTGAAAGGAAAAATTTTAACCTTCAGCATTTGGTTCAAAAGTATGAGCATATATTGAAATCATTTGTGCCATTTATCCTAGTTCTGTAAACTTGTCAGAACGTAAAAATCACTCAATTTCTAGTAATGTAGGATTGGCATACGTCATTATCATTTTGATTAAGTTGGAGGTTGTATCATTGTGTGCATTATACAGTGTCATTTAAAGCTTTCTTTCCTCCAGGTACAGTTATATTTTTATTGCCTATACTATAGAGTTAGAAAGATTTTCATAGCTCTCCAAACCTAACACTATGTGTGTGGTTTGGCAGCTGGTGTGGCCTACAAGCTGCATTTTGTTTGCAGGGTAAAGGCTTATCTGTAGGCCTCCTGGAGTGTGGGTAATTGCACAGGCTCGCCATTGGGGAGAGACAGGATTGGAAGCAGTCAAGCGGAAGAATGTTATGCCATCCCATTGCCACCTTGTAACAGAAAGACACAATCTCAGCAGTGCCATCTGGTTGTTGCTATCTAGTCAGCTGGCTTGGCTGCTGGGACCATGACTTGGCAGCTGGTTCCCATCCTTGACCATTCTTTTGTGTACGTCATATGTATTTGTGTTTTAGGTAATTTTGAACATGGGTCAGGGAAATGACTATAACAAAACAAGTAAAGTTCCCTTATTGAATAGGCTCTCATTACTTGAGATACACTCTGCTGTAGATGCCTGCTGCCATTCCCTTATAGACAATTGGCACATCTGTTTAGGCAATAAAAATAAGCATTTTCTCCATAAAAATCCACCTCAGTATGTGTTGCAAGAGAAGGTAGGCAAAGTTTTATGTTCTATATCATTTTAAAATAAGTTATTTTAAGTTATTCTCTGGTTTGGGAATATAAGAGGAGATTTAGTAATAAAAATGTCTTATATACGTTGTATATTATCCCAATATATATTTTTATTCAAGTTAAGAAAACATTATTTTTAAGTGCTTATTGCCACATTGTATAACAGTAGATAATGAGACTTGCATTTAAAATGACAGAATAGAAAATGTGGTCTTATAGCTATTATCTTTAAAATCTGCCTCTCAGATAGCAACCTGAGAGTTAATGTAAGCCGTCTTTATGCCATATGAAGACCCATTAGACACTGATGGTTTCAGATCACAAGCAGCCAGCTCTGTAGGCTATTTTAGACATTTGATTTTCTTCATTCTACAGCATTAATGTGTCAGCATGCTACATAAAACTATGCAGGAGTTACATTTTGTTCTGTCTGGAATGATAAATGCTTGCAAGCTTTTAGAGATTCCATGAGGAATTCATCCTAGTTGCTTATATATCTTATTTCAGTTTAGCTACAGAATTTGGTATGACTGTTGATGAGGTACCACATAGGTTTGTATAAAAACCAAGAGCTTCCACTTAATTCTTTCTTTAAAATTGCGTTGACAAAATTCATATTATTTGTACTTGTTCTGTCTTACCAGTGTTTTACTTTTGCTTTTATGTAAAGAGTTGCGATAACTTCTGAATATTACTTCAATGATCACTTATTGTCATAAAAATAATTTTGATACTGTTTTTTCAGATGAAGAAGAAGAAGATGATGTGGTGACTACTAAACCACCTATTGAACCTGAAGAAGAGAAGACTTTAAAGAAAGATGAGGAAAATGACAGTAAAGGTATATTAAAGAATTTAACTTTAAAAAATTTTGTTGTTTCTTATTAAGATTTCTTTTTATTATTTATGTATTAAAGTAGAATAAAATGCTGTAAATCAAAGAGGTGAATCTGGTTGAAAAAGAATGTGTGACATTATTGATCCAGATCGTAATAGTGAGTTGACCTAATTTGATTGACATAAATCAGACTTCAGAAAAACATTTGTTTTCCAGCTCCCCCTCATGAGCTGACTGAAGAAGAAAAGCAACAAATCTTGCACTCTGAAGAATTTTTAAGTTTCTTTGACCATTCTACACGAATTGTAGAAAGGGCTCTTTCTGAGCAGATAAACATCTTCTTTGACTACAGTGGGAGAGATTTGGAAGACAAAGAAGGGTAATGCTTAATTGCTAAAATTATGGCTTCAGCAATGTTAAATTTAAGAGTAAGAAGTTTAACACCATCTTTTTTTGGGTTTGGTTTTTTTCTGTAGAGAGATTCAAGCAGGTGCTAAACTGTCATTAAATCGACAATTTTTTGATGAACGTTGGTCAAAGCATCGGGTTGTTAGTTGTTTGGATTGGTCATCTCAGGTAAATTATAACAAACTGGTTGCTAGTAACTCATTTTTGAATTAAGTAGTTTTATTTTAATTATGGAAACTATAATTAAATCAAAATATATAATTTAAAATAATGATGGATGATGTTTCTATTACATTCTTTTTTCTTATGTACTATGGGAGAGAGAATTAGAAGCATTATTATATTTAAAACTCAAGATTTTATTTATGCCACAGCCCAGTTTTACTTATTTCAATTGCTCACCAAATTCTTTGGGTAAAATTCCAACACATATTTTAACTTAACTATACTAATTTAAAGTTGTACTAATGTCCCAGTGATCATAATTCTAGAGATATCTTTTTTGGTGAAGTTCTTAGGTATTTGTATTTTCAGAGTAATTTAATAAAGACAACTAAGTAACTAGGAATGTAAAACAATTCTTATAATCATAGCATTTTTTTCCACTTGATTTTTGCGAGCAGTATCCAGAGTTACTCGTGGCTTCATATAATAACAATGAAGATGCTCCTCATGAGCCTGATGGTGTGGCCCTTGTATGGAATATGAAATATAAAAAAACTACCCCGGAGTATGTGTTTCACTGCCAGGTAAGGTGGCCTTTTTAACAGTCTTCCTTAAGTTTAAGAATTCATCAATGAACTTAGACAAGTACCTTTTTCTTTTTTGTCAACATAATGATTTTATTCAGTTGGCCTTTACTAAACCACCCCATATTTGCAAACAGATGTTAACAGAAAACTGAGGACTTCTCAGTTCAACATGATCTTCCTTTTGTAGTTTTTCTGACATCTCTTGTAATGTTTAATCACACCTACAGTCCTTTGCAGTTGTGATTTTCTGTTATTTTGATTGAGTGTGTAAAATCTTTTATAGAATGTCTTTTCTACAGGGAGTTTCTCAGGAACTTATTTGCTGAATGTACAATTAGACTGTTGGCCCACTGAATTATTTATACATGGCCTGAGGAGTTGGAATTAGATAGTTTTAAGTAGAAACATATGTTTGAAGTAGGAAACAGATGCAGAGTTACAAAATGGATTTAGTGGAAAGTTAGAATTTGCAAGCTTTTTTTGGTTGCATAAGTTATAATCTTTTAATTAAATCATAATTCTGAAAAAACACTTAACTGAATCAAAACTAACATATACTTTTGTTGGATTACTGTCAGAGGCTAATACAGAGCCAGTTATGTTTTGATTTAATACCATAATCAAATGAAATAATTTTTTGCTTTCTTTGATTAATTGCTTAAATATTTATGTAAATAATCTTTCTATTTGACTTTGAAGCAAAAACTAGTCTGAAGACAAGTTTTTATATTCTGAAACAAAATGAAAAATTTAAGTGAATTTATTTACTTGTTTTTATAACCTCCAATACCTTATAAAGGAGAAAATGTTTTGGACATAGATTTATTTTTATAACTTGTCAGTCTTCTTCCATTTGAACCTTGAATATAAAAATTTTACTTACTTGCAGTCAGCTGTGATGTCTGCTACATTTGCAAAATTTCATCCAAATTTGGTTGTCGGTGGTACATACTCAGGCCAAATTGTGCTGTGGGATAACCGTAGCAATAAAAGAACTCCAGTGCAAAGAACTCCACTGTCAGCTGCTGCACACACAGTAAGTACAAAGGTTATTTCCTTTAGAGTTCTGTGCTCTTTGCCATTAAATACTCACTAGTGTCCACCAGAGTAGTCTCAGAATGTGTTTCCTTTGATGTGAATTTCTCATTTAGAAACCCAGAACAAAGGCCTTTTTTCTGTATTTTTGGAAATCTGTTTTATTAGAAACTCATTTCTCTTCTGAGACAACCATTGTTAATCAACAGAATAGCATCACACCTTACATTAAAAATGCCCTAAAGATATGAGACTGTTTTGATGTGAAACAGAATACCTATGATTATGCAGTAAAAATTATTATTATTATTATTATTTTAGTAAGATAATCCCAGAAAACTTTTTTAATATCTCTTTCTTCAGCATCCTGTATATTGTGTAAATGTTGTTGGAACGCAAAATGCTCATAATCTGATTAGCATCTCTACTGATGGAAAAATTTGTTCATGGAGTCTGGACATGCTTTCCCATCCACAGGTAGGTTCAACTTGGCAAATTCTGAAATTTTGAGGCAAATCTTGTTATTTTTCAAGTCTATATAAATCTCAGCTTATGTTTTTCATAAATGTTTTATAATAATTTGGTAATGGTGTGTCAACCTAAATGTGTTACAGTTTTTTGTGTATGTTACTTTCAAACCTGCTTTATTTAATCAAAGTCATTTTATGTAAGTAGTATAATAAAAGCATTGTTTACAAACCAATTAAAACTAGAAATTTTACTTAAAAATTAGAAATTGCAAGTTTACAATATAATTTCCTTAATTTTTTCTATGTAGGATAGCATGGAATTGGTTCATAAACAGTCAAAGGCAGTAGCTGTGACATCTATGTCCTTCCCTGTTGGAGATGTCAACAACTTTGTTGTTGGGAGTGAAGAAGGTTCTGTGTACACAGCATGTCGCCATGGCAGGTAAATCTAAACTGGAATTTACGATTATTTAAAATTATCCCTTGAGTAATCTCATTGAAACAAATTGTCCCTTGCTTAAGTAGAAATCTGTCCTAGAGCCACTTGTTTATTTTTGACAAATTTTTCGAGGTCAGATATATAAAATTAAAACAACTACTTTTTAAAAATAAAAGGTTATTTTGGATAATGATGTGTTCTGGATTTTGAGGATCTTAGTGTGTTGTGGTTTTGTATGTGTGCATGTGCTCACAGAAGTTAGTGATAGGAAATAACATTCAGCAATTATAAAAACAATATGCACATGCCATATACTGACCTTTAAAATTGTAAATAAGATTGTCAGTCATTTTCCCATTTTATTTGGACTTTGAGCTCTAGTTCCATTCTTCTGATAATTGTACAGTAATGTCACACACACATTTTAAATTGGGTAGTATTTCTCCTGTTGTTCAATCTGTTTCGAAATTGTCTAGCTGTACCTTATCAATTGCTTCCTTAAAAAAAAATCGAGTGTCCAGTTTTCATCTCAGATACAGATCACCTTCACTTCAAAACTTTTGATATAAAAGTAGCCTGGATTCTCTTTTCTACACGTAGTGTCCCTTTGTCTCTATTCTACTACCTCAGATATTGGACCTTTTGAGTTCTTCATCAACAGCATGATGTTTATGATTCAGAAATGTACTTATTACTTTAGTAGTGTTATCAAATCTGGATAGAGTAATACTCAATACTGGATAGAGTAATGCTGTATTATGAGCCCAGAGTTGTTTGTTGAACTTACGTTAAAGTCTAATATGTAAGCCCATAATATAATGTATTTATTTATAAGTGGTCAACTTACAAAAGATTTCCCTAACATTTTCACCTTTATGAAATAGCAAAGCTGGAATCAGTGAGATGTTTGAGGGACACCAAGGACCAATCACTGGCATCCATTGTCATGCAGCCGTTGGAGCAGTAGACTTCTCACATCTTTTTGTCACTTCATCATTTGACTGGACAGTAAAACTTTGGACAACTAAGGTATCTAAAAACATGTCTGCTCATTTGCTCAGGTTTCTAACACAAGATGGTGGTCTAATACAACATAGGAGAGATGTAACCTTTCTCATAGCATAGAATGATTAACTGATAGATAAACCTGATAAGTTACACAGAACCTGAGTCAGCTACTACATGTTGTACAAAACTGTCTACTCTGAATTGGGTTGGGGGAAAAAACCCAAGTATCTCACAAAGCAACTCACATAGCTGTCATACAGCCCAGCACAAAAGCCATACATTTTCTTTTTAGAGAGCTTTTAAAGGTTTGTTCAGAACTACAGTGGCTCACAGAGCTGTTGGAAAATGGAGAAAAAACAGATAAAAACTGATACACAATAAGTCCTATATGATAAGGCTACACAATAAGTCCTATATGATAAGGCTACTATGATAAGAAAGTATTGTATAAAAAGATAGATGCATATATATTTTTGTTTTCCACGATAAATAATTTAAATAGTTTTATTTTAATAAGCTTCAGTTATTCAAAAAACCCAGTTATGTTATAAAGTGCTTCCTGATTCTCCAGCAATTCTAAATAAATGTGACACTGCCCTACCTCATTGAAAGTCTTAAGGCAAATCCAGGTATGGGATGTTACTTCCTATGATAGGCCTGGTAGTTTCATTTGACCCCATTTTAAAATTAAAGTGCCTTGACTTTGCCATCTAGCTTTTCTGCAGTATTACATTATTGCTGGCAAAGCTGCATCCTCAGAATATCAGATTCTGTTTACATTAAGTTAAATTTTAAGCTATAGTTTTTCAATTTTCCACATCCCTTATTCTAAATGTTGACCTTTTGAATAATTCATCATGAGACAAAGTTTAGAGACCTATTTGTTTCTTCAGTTTTGGGTTTTTTTGTTTTGTTTCGTTTTGTTTTTGGAGAAAACCTAGTGGTCTTAAGAAATGTTCTTTGCTATTACAGTAAATTCATATTTATTTGCCAAATACTGTCTTCAGAAATTTGGGATGAACTGACTATTCACTCTTGTCCTTTCTTTCAATCTAATATGAAGTTAGAAAACTTAACCTCTAAAAGCTTGCCTTTTAAAATTAAGCATATTCAGTTTGGCATCAGCAGGTAGAGAAATGGCACTTACCTTAAGTCTAATGAAGGAAACATGTAGAAGAGGGCTTAACACAGTATCTAACATGTAATATGTACTTGATGTTCAGGTCCTCCTTTTCCCCTTCATGGGAATCAGACAGAGCTTGAATTCATTTAGTCGATGATCTATTTCCTTTCTTGGGTTGTTCTTGAATTTTTGTTCTTTTAATGAGATTTATACAGTGGAAAAAAGGAAGATCATTTCCCACAACCATAAGCAAAGAATTACATAATCTAGCCAGTTAAACCAAAGAGGCAGAATTGGAAAGATGAAGCCAACTGTTTCTCTATTGGCTACAGGCAGCAGTGTAAGTGACCAGCATTCTGGGTGTGCTTTCACCATAATTGTCCTTTATATAGACACAGGAGACATTACATCTTTGTTGGGTTTTTCGCCAGCTTCCTAATCGGAAAGAATCTTGATCTATTTATAGATCTCAGGGCTTCAGTTTACTAGCCTTCTTTTAGCTTTAAATTTGAGGCTTCTATCCTTATACACGTTACTAACAGGACTGGAAAATGAAGAGTTTGTCTTGCTTAAACAAGAACAAAACATATCTATGAAAGATATAATTGATGCTTCTTTTGTGGTACTACACAGTAGGTTGATTGGTGGTTGATATTTTTTGTTATTGTATTTTACTATATTTCAATATAGACTGTCTTCGAATAGAATGACAGGCAGGCATATCTCTTTCTTTGCTAATTGGGCGAGGCATTCCTTCTCTGAGCTTCATGTAAAAGACTCATTTATTCATTCAGCCATGGTATGTGCCTCTCCCCTCCTCCTTACACATATGTACTTCTCAAATGTTAGTGGCCAAAGGATGAGCCAGCATAGAGCAGGGTGATTTTTATACATGCCCAAGGGCCCTCTAAAGCTATATCAGAAGAATTACCTTTTATTCTAACTTTTCTGCACCACGAGTTCTACTGTACGAAGGAGAGAACAGCAACAATCTGCTGAGTAAATATTTTTCATTTGGCAATATCATGGCTCCCAGTGTCATTGTTTTGATCTTAGATTTATACTTAATGATTAATTATGTTGCTGGTATTTTCTACCCCACCAAACAACTTAATAGAGCTTCTGTTCTCTCTGACACATGGTAATAAATAATAGGCAAGGTTTTTAAATAATCTCTTTTTAAAAACATTGTTCCAATTCCACTTGGAGATTTTTAAACCAGTATCTTTACATTCATGAATTTAACAGACTTTAAATGTTTTTCTTCTCTACGTCTACTTTTTAAGTGTTTTCTGACTCTGGGAATTGAGCTCCGGTAAACTGAAAGAATAAATCATTAGATATTGCCCTTTTTAAGATCTGGCTCTGCCCCAGTAGCAAAAAAAAAAAAAGAGTTTTTCTTTTTCTCCCTTTCTTTAAGTCCTCTGAAAATTCCTCAGAAATCTCAATTTGGCACTTCTTCACGTTTAGTTTAAAGAAATCTACTTCTGTAGTCAGCTTCTAAATTTTGCCTAGTTAGGAATTTACAATGCAGTGACAGAGTTCTGGGTCATCAAATTGTTTTCATTACTTTTTTGAACTCAGTTATTTTTAGTAAAAAAAAAAAGAGATAGATGATTTTCCACATTTTGGTGAAGTTTAAACCAACCAAGACATTGCTTCTAATATATTTTGAGGACACAGTTACCTTTTCAAAATACCAAATTTGAAAATTCACACCAGAAAGCATTTTGGCAGGCTTGAAAAATGGTAGGAAGAATATGTGAGGAATAAAAGCTGCTTGAAGGTAACCTGAGGATTCCATGAGAGTTTGACCTGTTAAATTAAGAGGTTTAGACCTGGTAAATTAGATTAATGTTCCACTACATTTAACCATCCTTGCTACAGGTTACTCTTAAAATATAAGAATTATTTATTTGGGGAACAAATGTTTTTAATGTATTCTAGCCTGAGAACAATGCTTATCAGAACCATATTTACCATTAAGTGACAAAATTAAGTTTGTTAGTGTGGTAAATTCTTAGTAGTTTTCAGACTTTTGTTGTCCATACACACCTTAAAGTTTTTTTATAATCTCTGGATGTCTTAAATCCCCTTTATTTTAACAGATTACCTATTTAACTCTCAGAGATATCAGCATAAAAACAAGGTTAAAGAGATATTACTAATATTTGGCAATAGCAACTGTGCACATATAAGTTAAAATGAAAAAATGCTTTGAGGTTGGGGTGTTTCTAGGGGAAGCCTACTGACCATCAGGACCCAGTCTTCCATGGTGGCATTTACCATAGTAACTTGCTGCTGGCCATTGTCCAGCCTGTTCTTTGCACATTTTGAAACTCAGTTTTCTCAGTCTATTAGAGTTGATTAGCTAGAGAGTGCTGACTGGAGCTAACAGGCTCCTTAGACACCGATACATTGGAGGTCAATTTATTAATTTATAATGAGAAACAATTGCCAGAATGCCTAGATGCTCATGCTGGCCTGACCAGCTCATTGTTTCTCTGTAGACAACCCACATGGGAAGCCAAATTATAATCAGAAGATTGCTTGGTGAGCAAGGAATTGGAACAAAAGAAGTTTTCTAATTTGAATGTTTAATGGCATCAAGCAAAGACAGCCTGATTCATTCATCCTTACATAGAGATAGCCTTGCCATGGGTGGTAATTCTCAGAATCCATTGGCTGACACTCTCTCCTGGACAATGCCTGAATTGGATACTGCCTTCATTTTTCTTGTAAGACTGCTTCTTTGTATTTCCATTGTTTTTAATAGACACATTCCTTCTCAAAAAAGTGGTATCTTCAGTCAGGTTATAAAGAAGGTATTTCTGACCTCAGAATCATTTCTTTTCACAGAGGATCTATCTCTGTTCTGATCCAGGTGAGGACATATTTGCCAGTTTTCTGGAGAGCACTTTGCTCATGTATTTACTATAAAGACTCTTTGGTTATCAATCTAGAACTCTCCAGTTACCCCAGAAAAATAAAGAATTTCTGTATATTAGTTTCCTAGGGATGCTATAACAAACTAGGTAGCTTTAAAATAACAGAAATTTATTGTCTCATGGTTCTGGCTAGATATTCAAAATCAAGGTTCTGAGGGAGAATCCGTTCTTCTGTTCCATGCCTCCTTCCTAGTTTCTGATGGTTGCCAGCAATCTTGATGCTTCTTGGCTTGCAGCTGCATCACTCTGGTCTCTGCCTCTGTTATCACATGGTCTTCTCCCTGTTTGTCTCTGTCCAAATTTTTCACTTCTTTTAAGACAGTCATGCTAGATTTAGCGCCTACTCTAAGGCAGTATAACCTCAACTTAACTTGATTATAGCTGCAAAGACCCTGATTCCAAATATCGTCATATTTATAGGTTCTGGGTGGACATGAATTTGGGAGGAGGACATTTTTCAACCCAATGCATAACTGTAAAAAACTCAAAAGAATATGGCTTGTCCCTTGACCATACTGTTTATTGTCACCACTGTACCAGAATGAGCTACCTTTTCGCTTATTCAGATGCTGTCATTCAAAGAAGCACATTGTTTTGATTCATTCTTTTGGCAAATGTTTGCAGACCTTTTCTTTGTAAGCATTTTAGAGCTGCAGTGACCTTTAGACATTATCTAGCTCAGTGGTTGTCAATTTTGGTTGCATTAGAATCACCTGGGCAATTTTTAAAACTTTTAATGCTCACCTAGCACCCCAACCTAATTAAATCAGAATATGTAAAGGGGTGGCCCAGCAACAACATTTTTTAAAATTCTCAGAGTTAGGGGATTATAATGTACAGTCAAGGTTTAGAACCACAGATAGAAAACCTTTGTTTTATAAATAGGGAAATAGGAGCCTAGATTGATAAAGTGGCTTTCCAAAGCCTTTAAACTAGTTATTGGTAGCCCTGAGACACAAGGGTCTAGGTCTTGTGCCCCCTTGAACTTTTCTCTGCTTCTCACCACTTAGGCAAAAGTTCCCTTCAAGTTAGCAAAAAATATATTACAATTAAAAGTATTTTAAATGATACATTTGGGATTTAATTTGCATTGTCATATATAGAAATATATTACAAAACAATATTTGGTATTAAGTGTGTACTTTCTTTCTCTTTGCGGGGGAAATTGTTAATCCTTGGATGACTTTTTTAAATTGAAAAAATTACAAAAAGTCTATAATCACATTTTTAAAATTTGGGTATATGTTACCATTTATTATATTTTTATTTTTAAAATGGGCCTGCCATTATAGGATACCTTTGTTAATCTTTGTCTATCACTTCTTTAAAAATCCACTTTTTCTCTCCTTTCCTTTTTTAAATAATAGCGCTTTGAGATACAATTCATATACCATAAAATTCACCCTTTCAAAGTGTTTAATTCAGTGGTTCTTAGTATATTCACAGAGGTGTGCATTATCTAATTTTAGAACATTTTCAAATTTCAGAAAGAAACCCTGTACCCATTAGTAGTCACTCCTCATTTCCTCTCCCCAGCTCTTAGACACCACTAATCTACTTTCTATTTTTTTGGAACTCGCTATTATGGATAGTTCATGGACCTTTCATGAAATCATGCAGTATGTGACTGGCTTCTTTCACTTTGTTTAATATTTTCAAGGTTCATCCATGTTGTAGCACATGTCTATACTTCATTCCTTTTATGGTCGAATACTATCTCATTGTATGGATATGCCACTTTTTGTTTATCCATGCATTAGTTGATGAGCATTTGGGTCGTATCCACTTTGGGGTTATTATGAATAATGCTGCTATGAACACTCACATGTAAGTTTTTTTGTGTACATGTTCCATTTCTCTTGGTTTTATACCTAAAAGAAGAATTGTTGGGTCATGTATTAACTCTAATTAGCATTTTGAGGAACTGCCTAACTTTTTCAGAGCAGCTACACCCATTTATATTAAGGGTTCTGATTTCTCACATCCTCACCACCAACACTTGTGATTGTCTGTTCTTTTTATTATAGCCATTCTAGTGGTGTGAACTCATTATCTCATTGTGGTTTCGATTTGCATTTTCCTGATGATAATGATGTTGAGCATCTCTTTAAGTGCTTATTTGTTATTCGCAGATTTTCTTTAGAGAAATTTTTCAAATCTTTTGCTCAATTTTTAATCAAGTTACTTGCCTTTTTGTTTATGAGTTGTAAGAGTTCTAGATACAAGTCACTTGTCAGATACATGATTTTCAAATATTTTCTCCCATTGCATAAGTTGTCTTTTCACTTTCTTGCAGGTATTGTTTGAAGCACAGGAGTATTTAATTTTGATGTAGCCCAATTTATCTTTTTCTTTTGTCGCTTGCGCTTTTGGTTTCCTATCTAAAACTGTTGCTGAGTCCAGGGTCACGATTAACATTTATGCTTTCTCCTAAGAGTGTTATAGTTTTACCTCTTATATTTGTATCTATGACACATTTTTAGTTAATTTCTGTGTATGGTGTTTGTGTGCACCTATCCAGTTGTCCCAATATCATTCGTTGAAAAGACTATTCTTTTCCCATTTAATTGTCTGACACGCTCATTGAAGATCTGCCATAATAACTGTGTGGGATTTGACTAAATTCCTTTTTTGTTGGTTAATGTCTACTAGCTAAATTTTTTGTTGGTTAATGTCTACTAGCTAAGTTTTTCTCTGCTTTTAGGAGGGAGGGAATAGGCAATGATACCTTTTCTGGTTTCATAGTCTAGGTTAAAGCTCTCTCTTCTGCGTTTTTTTTTTTCAAAGTGGATGTATATCTTTATCTGTGTTGTACTTTGAGCTGTGCCTTTTCTGTTCCTCTTCACCACTTATATCTGAACCTTGTCTTTCCTTTGTCCTTGTGTACCGTATTTCAAAACTTGGTTTCTACTCTCAGCAGTTTCTCTTTGGTGAGACTTATCTTGAAAGAGAGCTTTGGTTTGTTAATTTTGAGTTTATAGGTCTCAGACTGCACTGTTAGACCTTACGTATATGACATTGGTGTCTACTCACATTTATTTACAAATGGAATTATGTCAAACTCTCGGTTTCTGTTGCTCTTCTCAGACTGGCCTCCATGCTGTCCACCGAGCATCTGCTGTCAACCATAAGGCTCTTCTGTTTTGTCTTCATGACATCCCACACATCTTCCCTCACAGATGCTCATTCTGTGCAGGTCTTGTAGTTGTCAGAGATTTTAGATTTTACTTGCTTACTAGAGCTTTGTCTCCTGATGTTGTAGATGTTGTCTGTGAACTTTTGGTTTTGCTATCCTTGTTGCTTTGTCTGGCTTTATGGAGAGATTTAGAGGAGATTCAAAAAGTATAGTTGCTATTGCTATCCTTTTCCCAGAATCTTCTCACTGACAAATGTTTTGAAAGCACATTCTATTCCTTTTTTAAAACAGTATGGTGTCTATAAGTTAAAAAGAAAATGCAATCTGACAATCAGGTCTTAATTCATAACCAGATAATTCTGTAGTGAAACAAATTATAGGAACTTTTTGTAGGCTGAGTTAAATATTATAAAATGTTATCATACCTATTGAATATATGTCATATTTTGACTGTGCTAAGAATCAACTTTTCTCTTTCAGAATAACAAGCCTTTATACTCATTTGAAGATAATTCAGACTACGTTTATGATGTTATGTGGTCACCCACCCACCCAGCCCTCTTTGCCTGTGTGGATGGCATGGGGAGGCTAGATTTGTGGAATCTCAATAACGACACGGAGGTGAGCAGCAAAATAACAAAAATTGCACTGAAAAATAGAAAATTGGAGATTTATTGAATAATTTGTGAAATTCTTTTTATCCCAAGGAATGTAAAAGGGCTCTGTGATTGTAGCATCATCACAAAGAAACCAAATAAGCTTTGTACCCTAAATAACAAACAGCATGCTGTGCAGAACTGAAGGGAAAAATAATGTTGCCAAGAGCACTGGGGCATTTCCTTTTACTTCTGAAAAGCACTATCATGTCTCTCATGTCGTGGCAAAATCTCATTCATAAGACAACTGGAATATTTTTCATTCATTGGCTAGAAAGCAGAGAGTTTCAGACTACTGGAGTATGTTAACCTTAATTCTGACTTTCTAAATTATCCCTTAGCATTGATAGAATTGCGTATCATCCATAAACATTAGTCTTAGCCTGACTCATTTGAATGAAAGAAAAATGTATTTTGATGACTCGTTCCACAAAGGAGTGAAAACACTGTTACTGTTACTATTACATGAATATAGAAACCATTAAATTTCTCAATTGCTATACTAAAATCACTTATTAGCAATGAAATTTTAACCGTAGCTATTATTTATTTTTAGCTATGTGTATTTTTACCAACCTAGGCTTAAAATGTTCTTAGAATTCTATATTGCTACATGGTGGTAAGAAGTAACGTTAGCAGTTCTATCAGTAGTAGTTGTTGAGAAAAAAAAAATGGGTTCCCCCACAGCTCTCTCTTTCCCACGTCTCTTCATATTTCTAGTGGCATCTGTCCAAATACCTTGAAGTAAAATGGTTATACAGGGCAAGGAAGTTACATATTGAAAATGTAAGAATTTTAACACTATGAACTACCAGTTTAGTAGTTTGAGGAAGAACATTCAAATACTGCTAGGAAAAGGTATTAAGCCCGAGCTAGATAATTAGGCTTAATTATACATTCCTAGTTATCTTGAATGGTGCCGATTTTATTTTCTTACTTTGGATTTGGTGTCAGAGATTTCAAGTTACAGTCAAATTTGGATCTTTCCTGTAATTACAATATCTAAATTGTAATTTTTCTCTATAACAATTTTAGCATTTTAGGAGGTTAAATTAGTCATTTAGGGATGAGTCAATTAGAAGGATTATTTTTAATCAGATTTCAAATTAAAATTTTATCATGCTTCTGGTTGAGTCAAACATGCAATGTTTGCTCTGCATAGGAAAGGTACGGTCAGATTCCATAGGGCTGGGGCCGTTGTGTGGATGCCATCACTCTCCCTGCTCCAGATAATTCATGAGAACAGGGGCTTTGGAAAGACCAATAGTATACCTTCAGTATGAACTGTTTCTAGGAACTGTGGATCAAATCACAGGTTTCAGCTGACAGGGATGCAAGCTACAAAAGTAATTCCCGTCCTCTAAAATTGAACCATAATCTGTTTATGAGGGCTTTTGAAATGGTTCTTTAAAATGGGGTTTTGGCCATCTGTTTTCAAACAGCTTGACTTCTTAAAGAAGTTAAAACAGCAACAAAGAATGCTTTATTAAAGAGAAGATCTTTCAGAATGATATATCTAGTCATGTGAGAATTTCTTATATAAGGACTTATTTTCCCAAACCGTTTTCAAGGATTGACTATAATGTCATTCATAATGTCTCACTGAACAAGAAAGTTGGGAAAATTCTTTCTCTGTTTTCATCTTTGTCTTTAAAAATGTAGCCAGATTGGAAGAAAGAATTCCTGTTTTACATGTTTATAGAAATCTTGATGAGACTTTTAACACTGTACTATATTTTAAATGACTTCAGGTGCCAACTGCCAGCATTTCCGTGGAGGGTAATCCTGCTCTTAATCGTGTAAGATGGACCCATTCTGGAAGAGAGATTGCCGTGGGTGATTCTGAAGGACAGATTGTTATATATGATGTGGGAGAGGTATGGGGCTCACTGCCTATAATTTTGACACATCTATTTAGTTTTCACAGCACTGAAGTAACAGTATCTTCATGGCTAAAGCTAGTGTTTGAAGTTCATGGATTTTATAAACTGTATGGTTGTAAAGATAAAATTTACTTTCCACCACAGGAATGACTCTTGAGATTAATTTCTTTCTAACTGTATGTCCTGTGTTCCCATACAACAGATTTTGAGGGTAATACGTGTTGGAAGTACTTTGTTTCTTGAAGCATTCATTGCTGGAAATTAGAAATTCTTTAGGCAAAAGAAGAAATTTGGAGTTATAGTTGGACTTCAGGGCTTTATAGAATTGATACTGAGATAAGACTTTATCTTTCTGTATTCATAGTTTGTTTGGGCCAGTTGATAGAAATCAAAAGTAATATTTTTTGAGAGTTACCTGTGATGACATTGTGAAATGTGAATCTTGTCTCTTGACCCTTTTTGCAAAGCCATTATCATTGAATCCAACAGGATGAGTTGCAGTTCTCACATCTTTAGTGCTCGGGTTGGTGTACACAATGCCCAGGAGTGATTTCCTTTTTTGAGTCCTGGCTAGCACCTTGGTCACTCCTTCTTCTACTATGCCTTATGATTCCTATCTTCTCTGATCACCTCCAGAGCCTCTAGCAATTAGATTAGAAGGTAGAGAGATTAATTCATTTAGAACAACCAATTGAACCATCTTCATAGGTGGAATTGTCTAGTATTGGTAGCCAGAAGCTGCATAAGGCTATTGAACATTTAAAATGTGGCTAGTACAACCAAAGAACTGAATTAAAAATTTTTAATTTTAAGTAATTTAAATGTACATAATCACATGTGGATGGTAGCTACCCTTTTGAGATGGATATATCACTGTCCAATCTAATCTAATATGGTAGATATAGAACCAGGCACATCTGTTTGCCACAATGAATGGTCTGTGCCATGGTATTGCAATATCACATTCTCCAATATTATTATAACAACTGTTAAAAATTTTGGCAGTTGGACTGCTTCAGTGAGGCAGAAACATCACAAGCTTCTTTTCCTTTTTTATTGTTGGAAAGAAGTAGCACACCTTCTGATGAAGGGATTAAGATATCAAGAAAGAGTATCTTAAGCTCCAAACAAAAATACTTATAAGGAACCAAGTTTTTGAACCGTGCTTTCCAAACCATTTCATACTAGAAATGATGCAAGAAATAACAAATTTTAAGGTATTCCTTCCCACCAGCAAAATTCACGAGATAGTGTGTAGGAGTTATAGTTACAGAACATCATTGTTGTTTTCTCTTGCACTGATGGTGATAATAGCAACATCATTTCTAAGGCTGTCACAACACATTTCCCAAACACCGTCTTTCGTTTTGAGATGTTATAAATCATTGCTGTAGTCCCTGTAATCATAGAAAGGCCATTCAGGTCAATTATTACTTTTTAATAGAAAAATTATTTGAAAACAAACAATAATAGTAGGTAAGATGATCCTTTATTTCAGTACACATAAAACGTTGTCTTTCTTTTAACAGCAAATTGCTGTCCCCCGAAATGATGAATGGGCACGGTTCGGCCGAACACTTGCAGAAATTAATGCAAATCGAGCTGATGCAGAGGAGGAGGCTGCTACCCGAATACCTGCGTAGCTCCTGAAAATGGGATATGTAGCCTTAGTGGATTTGGGGAAGACTTTAAGTAGATCCTGAGACTATTTGCATGCTTCTGTCTAAATGATAATTAAAAGGAACTTTGGTGGATTAAACCATGGATTTAATGCAGCAAGCAATTCTTACAATGTCCCTTTTTATATAACATGCATCCTGTTTTGGATTTATGTCATTTTTAATACAGCTTATCGACTTTACTGAATGCAGCCTCTTTTGAATTCTTATACACAGGTGTATATTTGGTATTAGTTATTATTTTGAATTATTTTCAACTTATAACACTATATACAGTTATTTCTAAAGCACAAATTAAATAACTTCTGCATATTTTTAAGTAATCATAATTCCCTGTTATACTGATAAAGTTCTAACTTAATATGTGGGAACATTGTTCATTCTTAGCCATAGCATGCATACATCTATCCAAGTTATGTTCTAATATCTTTTTTCTTCTTTATAATTCATGTGATAGCTGTATATAAATAAAAACAAATATGATTTAACTTTTCAAATTTTCATTTCGATTTACTCTTTGTAATTTTAATTGTCTCTTTTAAAGTGTCTTTTTTTCATATCTTTAAGTTCCTGTTATAAGCAGCCGCTTCAAATCTCATAAAGCTTTGTGCCTTAAATATACCATACAGTATGCTATAGCTCTCCCAATGCATTATGAACTGATGTTTAGATAATGTCAGTGAAAAAATTTCTCCTGTTAACTTTGGCTTTACTCCCTTTACTTTCTGTTTATGTTAAATTTAAAGAATAAACAGAAAGCTGCCTGTTATTTTCACTGGTTGAGATTACTATGTCTGGGAGCTCCCTGAGACTAAAATTTCCTTTTAGAGAAACCGATTTCACGGTTGCAGTAGCCATGAAGGAAAAGTGCTCAAAGGAACTTTGTCATTGAATTAACTCCACATCTTGAGACCTGTTACCACAAACTTGTCAACAAGTCTGAAATGTAAGTGACAGATATCCAAGAGTCAACCTGTTTGAAAACTAGACGGATTATGATCAGATCTTGATTATATCCACTTTAAATTGTCCATTTCCTTAATTCTGACCTTTTAAAGTTTAACTATCATTTATTCAACAGAACATGAAATAGGAAGGAAAAAATAGAAATTCGAATTTGAACATTTTTATTGTTTGCTTTTTAAAAATAATTCTAATCAATGTTGGCAGATAAATTTCCAAATAAAATTTCTTAACTATCAGTTTTGTATAATGTAAATTTGGGATAATTGACCAGAAATATTAAACCCAACTCTGATTCTAGCTCTAACACTCATGAGAAGTATGATTTTAGCCAAGTCTTTCCATCTGTCTGTGCCTCATTCTTTTTACCTAGGAATTAACTTTGGATTAGATTATTTCTAAATTACCTTCTAGCTCTAAAATTATTAATTGTAATTCAGGAAATTCTCCATTTTTATTTATATTCAGTTTTTATAAATTGACACCCCGTAATTGCCTATTGTATATCAAAGATAAGTTTTTTACATCAGCAGGCAAATATCTCAAGTTATCTCATGGTACCAATGTCTGTGAGTCAAAAGTTTAATTGCAGCAGGGTCACAGACAATGTGTAGAAAAATTCATGTAATCACTGTAATAGTTACTATATTTTTACTCTCAGTTTGTGAAAATGACTAGAAAAAGGGAAAACAATAATTATATGAAGATTGGAAATCAAGATGTGGCAAATCAGATGCTCATTGGACTCAAGTTGATGTGTTCAATTGTGAATGAATAAAATTGGTAAGTATTGGCAAAATACTTATCACCAAAGAGTTTTTGCTTTCTTCTCCTTCCCTCCCCAAAATCCACTCTGGATCTTTGCCCATTTAACTTGTCTACATTTTTAGGAACACATGAATTTAATGTGAGGAATTGCTTTTTAAGGTTCACTCTATAATAGCAAAAGAGAAACTACTGAGACTGTCAGTATTGATGTAAAATCTTCTGACAGATTAAGTTGAATAGAAAAGTGTAGCACAGCTCTTTACACTTTTAGAAATGAAAACCTTTTAATTTTTAAAAATATCCAGTTATGGAAATGTACCTTATTTTTTACTAGTTATATTTATTTTTCTCTGAGAAGCAAGCCATAGCTTTCTGGCTAATTTCTTACTTTGTGTTTACTTTTGTTATCTTTTGGAATGAGAAAAAGGATTATTGGTTATCCTTGTGTTTTGCAGAAAACAATTAACTTGCAGTAAATCTCAGACATTCATTTTTTTGGTATCATTTAAACCAAAAAAAAAAAAAACCCAAAAATTTATCAGTAGAAACTATCTTCTTGTTTATAGATCCAGCTCCCTACGAAGTTTAAAAAATCTAGATATAAAATATTGTTGCAGTAATGCTGAGATGCTGTATTATGAAAGAATGAATAACTTAAAATTTAAGGGAATCTAAAGGAAAGCACTGTTAGGAATAATCCTAGTCTTTCAATATTGTAAGGATGGTGATTCGTTCTATTTGTTCTAGTACCGACAGGCTGTAATCTCTACCACTTGAACTATATGGAAGGGAAGGGCTTGAATGAATGAATGAATGAATCAATGAATCAATGAATCAAAAGCTGGTGTGAAGCATATAATTTTTATTTCCATTCTATTCAGCAGTGAATTTTAAAATGTCTTTTCCACAACCCCTATATTTCAACATTGTCACTGTAAAATTTTCTAAGAAAAAGCCAAATTAGGTGTATGTTGGGGAGAGAGAATGAAGCTTCAATTACCCTCAGCTGCTCAATCGCTGTGAGAAGAGTTTTTTAAAACATGACATAGCATCCAAGGTGGTGATGTCATGCCTGAATCTTGGGCATAAATCTAAGGTAAAAAGCCATCGGCTTTGCCTTGTTTGACGATTTGGTGATGGGATTCCCATTGAGGTTTTTTTTCCCCCAAGCTACATAGAGGCAAGAAAGGAATTTGCTTTTCTGCTATCATCTTGCTGATTGCTAGGCTTGGGAAAAATACGTGGGAATAATTTTTGACTCATTAAAAAATGGTGGAAATTTATTTACATATCCAGTTTACAGAATCTGGCGGCTTCTAGTGCTACCAGAGAATTGGAAAGTTGCCCAAAGGCAAGAACACCCATGTTCAATATTTCTTTTGCAGTAGAGGATTACAATTAATTGAGAACATGCTTTTAAACAATTTCATCAATCTTACTGCCTCCAAAAGGTAATAATTTGCTTGTACCTACTGTATTACATTTTTATTTGCTTTTACTTAGAGTATTATATTTTAAAAATCCTTCGCACATACAAGAAATACATTTTAGAAAAAGATGCTGCAATTCTAACCAGCATGCCAACTGGAAGACTTTGGATATGCATCATATAATTGTAATGCTTTTCTCAGGAGGCTGATGCTCAGACCTTTCGTTGGACTTCAGGTTTACAGATTCTGCTTCTGCCTGCCATGTTCACAATTCCCTAACTTCGTAAAATTCGAATAGATTTCAAGTGTTATAAGTTTTCAGTATGTAGCTTCTAGATACTGATAGTTTCAATATACCCAATCAGCAATCTTCTACAAACTTTTCTAAAATTACAGTATTTTGTGTCATTAGTTTCATAGCAGGAATCTCAGTTTTGGCTTCTTAATATTCCATTACCAGTTCCCAGTCAGAGGATGGAACAGCTTGCACTCAGGTAAGCTTTCAGAAAGGTCTGTTTCACTTCATAAGGTCATTCATTCAGGTCTCTGGTAATGTTATCCTGCTTCTCTTTTAATGTACTTGATTTGGTAGGAAAGCTGTAGGGCAATGATTGTGTAGGGTGTAGAACACACCTACGTGGTGCTGAACATGCAGAGACCTAACTCCATGACTCCAGAAATCAGGTATACCACCGATGAGGCTTTGATGGCAAGTAATTTTATCTTTTGTGAATTTTTGAACTAGATTTTTAACTTTTTTTTTTTAACTTTTTTTTTCTGAACAAAGTAATGGAAATACTTTGGAACCAAAAGCATTAACTATCTCTTATAGTTAAGGGTGGCCTGGTATATGAGAAAAAGAACTCTGGGCTCAAAAGACCCAAGTTCTAATTTCCTTATATCCCCATTGCCAATAATGTCACCTGGGACGAGGATCAGTACTTTCATCTGCTAAGAGAGGAAAATATTTTCTTTCTGTGAAGATTATATAAGATGTTGTGTATGTGAAGACTTCTGTAAATTATAAAGTGCCACACAATAAGGGAGTCTCTCTTTTTTTTAAGAACACTAGAATGGAGAGGACCATTTTGTGTAGCCATTTGTGCAGTGCAACAAGATCTCATTTTCTGAGAATTATGTGGCTTGGTATTCGAGAAAAAAATTTTTTATTTCTAAGAAATCACAATTTGAACCTCAGATGTTTAGGAGTAGCAGTAAACTGAGGGAAACATATTAATTGCCCTTAATCAAGGTTATTTTCCTAGGAATGTTTTTTCTTACTGTAGTCTATAGTAAAATTACAGAATGTGCTAGTAGAAAATATGACCCACTCTGAATTTCTAGCCTATACTAAGCTGTTGCTCTTATGTTAATTACATATCGAACATAGGTTGATATCTGGAGCCTTAGAAAAGAGGAGGTGGACCCCTTTTTTCAAAACAATGAGAAAACAAACTTGATTACAGACTAATCCAGCTACATACTAGCAGAAGTGGATGGAGAACGAGAGTTATTCAGCTATTACAACGTATGCAGCACCCTTCCTTCTTCCCTGGGGTCAGTCCCCTTGGAAATAACATGTGTTCATTGTAGGAGGATGATCACTAGGAGGAGGAGCTTCAGTCCTTAGGGACTTGTCGGGCTGAGAGGAAGCCCTAAGGTTAGTTCTGCAGGAATAACTTTTATCTAACTCACATCTGGATTGGCAGATCTCTGCTTTCTCATTGTATCTGCAATATGATTTCCAGAAATAAGTCAAAACTGGACTTGTTAATAAATACCAATAGAGCAAGAAACTTGGTAAAATGAATAGCCCCTTCCTAATGGGCCTCATATCTAATGTTTGATAAAATCATGAATTTGGCAGTACACTGAGGGTTATTAGATGGATTTGGAAGACCCCTTCATCTTCCAAAGGCAAAAGAAATGGCCTTAGCCTTCTTGAAACTTGAGAGCTACTTAAGTAGGATTTGTATCAATCGAGAAAAAGGACTTTTGTATTTTGTGTTGAAAATCAGGGAGTACCGTGTTATTCATAGAAGACTGCCCCTGAGTTTTTCTGTTCCTCCTTTTTGGCGAATCTTTCTTCTCTCTAGACCTTCCTCCTCTCTTGTAAAATGAATGCTGCAGTAATATCAGTGGTACAAGGGATAGTGGGAATAATACATCCACATAGATTAGAAGCCCTAAAAGGCTAATTGGATATCAAGATATTATGCTTTAGTTGGAATTATATCAGCTGAGAGAAGACAATTGACTACTAAATCCTGATGTATCACTGGTAGATAAACCCCTTCAAAACATGGTGGTCTGAAATTTTTATTTCTGGTT